GCATCTCCTCGTGGTGCAAGTTGTCTTAAGGCTACTGTTGTTTCTTTACCATCTTCACGTCTAACAACAGCATAGTTTGGATTTGCTTCAATTAGCTGTACTTCTTCAACGAGGGGTTCATATTTGGACTGCCTCACATTTTTTTTCATAAATACTTTTCCGGGGTTATCAACCATGAAGGAAGTGCAGCTCCATTTATAGCTTTTCTGGAATGATGAAACATTCGCTCATGAGGGGTACTGTTTGTAGATGTACACAAAAGAGAACGAATTGAATGAAGAGCTATCTCAACTACTTCTTCCCACTGTTCAGTTTTTAAATGTTTAGATTTTAATGCAAGAGAAATAGTTTTCCATATAATTCCATTATATCTTTCTGTCTGGCCATTTCCTTCAGGATTGTAAGATGTTGTTCGGCTTGTTGGTATTCCTTGTGAATGGAGAAATGTTTTGACTTCTTGAGACATAAATGCCCCCCCTTGGTCTGAATGGATATAACTAGGCATTCCAAATAAAGAGAATAAGTTTGTAAGACACTTCACAACAGTTTTCGCTGAAACATCTTGACATGGATATACAAAGGGGAATCGAGAATATTCATCAACAATTGTTAGGATATATTTGTTATGAGATCTAGATGGAAGCGGTCCTTTAAAATCCAGAGACAATCTTTCAAAAGGCGAAGTAGCTTTAATTAATCTCCCTTGAGTTTTCAAAAACTTTGGTTTTATTTCTGCACAGATAGGACAGCGATTGGTCATTTCACGGACTTCATCAATAGTATATGGTAAGTTGCGTGTCTTTATCCAATGGACCATTCTGGTGATTCCTGGATGACACAAGGATTGATGTAGTTCAAATAGACTTGGTCGAGGATTTATTGAACAGCTCACTCGTGAGAAAGTATCTGGCACTACATTCTCAACTCCTGGTCGGTACTGAATATCGAAACTGTAGCATGATAATTCAAGGCGCCATCTGATAATCTTCTCATTTTTTATCTTACTAGTGTGGCGCATATTGAACATAAAAGAGACAGACTTTTGATCAGTTATAAGTCGAAAATGTTTACCTATCAAGAAATGTCTCCATTTTCTAAGAGCTTCCACTATTGCATAAGCCTCTTTTTCCACTGATGAATGATTTCTTTCACTTTTTGATAAGGTTCTTGAAAAGAAAGCAACAGGTCTTCCTCCTTGGCTAAGAGAAGCAGCAATACAAAAATCTGAAGCATCAGATTCAACGATAAAAGGAATCTTGTCATCAATTGTAGTAACAGCTGAAGAAATAATTTCAGATTTAAGAATTTGGAAAGCTTCAGCTGCTTGTTCTGTTAAAGGAAAAGTATTGCATGTGACTAGTTTTTGTATCTTTTCTGAAAATTGTGGGATAAATTTGGAATAATGTGCAAACATTCCGACAGCTCTCTTTAGTGATTGTGAATCGTTTGGTAAGGGTAACTTCTTTAATGGTTCAAGTCTTTCAGGATCAGGTTTTAAGGTCTGATTTTCTATTTGATAACCCAAAAGTTTGATTGAATTTAGTGTATAAGAACTTTTATTTTGATTTATTGTTAGATTGTATTTCTTCGCTACTTCCATAAATTTATTAAGATTTTCATTATGTTGTTGTTGATTTAATCCACAAACCGTAATGTCATCAAGATATGCATACACACCTTTTAAATGTTCGGATTTAATAATACCATCGATAACCCTTTGAAAACAAGCCACTCCGTTGGTTACCCCAAAAGGAATCCGGCAAAATTGGTATAGTTGGCCGTTGGCTTCAAAAGCAGTGTATATTTTCTCTTCATTTTTAATTGGAATTTGATGGTATGCATTTTTAAGATCAATAGTACTGAAGACAGAATATCTTGCTACTTTTCTAACAATATCTTCAACATCTGGGAGAGGATAGGCATCTAAGTAAGTAAATTTATTAATTGTTTGTGAATAATCTACCACCATTCGCTTTTTGTGTGTTTCACTTTTTGTAATAAGTACTTGTGCACGCCAAGGAGAGTTGCTTTCTTCTATGATTCCATTCGATAGCAGATACTGTATCTCGTCAGATATGAATTTTCTATCTTCAGTTGAAAATTTTCTTGATTTAGTTGCCCTCGGTTTGCAATCATTTGATAGATTGGAGAATAATTTGGGTGGCTCTATATTTAAGTATGCCAAACTACAAATGTTATCTATATGATCAATAACTAAAGGCATTTTTGAGCCAGCAAAAGTGATTTCTAGAGAAGAATGTTGTTTAAGCAAGTCATGACCTATAACTACATCAGCACATAAATCTTGAATTATTGATAATTTGACATTTTTATATGAATGTTCGTTTATTTCTAAATTAACAAAGCAGTGTCCTGAGATAGTCGTTCTGAGTGCTGTTGAAGCCATTATTATGCTTGCATGACTTCTAAATGTTTTCACGTTTATAGACAATGCATAATTCTTACTGATATATGACTCAGAACTACCTGTGTCTATTAAACTTTCAGCTGTATTTCCATTCACCTTTATCTCAGTAACACTTTTAGATAAGCATTGAGGGGCAGCAGCAAGATTTCTAACATTCGAACTAGATGTAGTAGTAGCTAAAACAGCAGCTGATACTGAATTGGGCATCTGAAGCCTACATACCTTGGAAAAATGTCCAACTTTCGAGCATTTCTTACAAACTTTGTCTCTAGCAGGGCATAGGCTACGAGGATGCCTTTCAGTTGATCCACAAAAGTAACATTTCCAACTTTTCACAGCAGCAGAAGTATAATTAGTGTGCTCTCTGGTTTCAGAAGAAATTGCATTAATAATTTGTACAGGAGTTGTATAAGCCTCAGAGTGTTTTGAAGCTGACTCCAGAGACTGGGCTTTTACTATGGCATCTTGCAGAGTAATAGTGTTGTTTTCTAGTAAACGTTGTCTTATGTCATTAGAAAGAATGCCATTAATAAAAGAGTCTCTTATATAATCTTCTCTATTTTGGTCTGCAGAAACGGCTAGAAAATTACAGTCTTTGGAAAGCACTTTAAGATGTTGAACGTATTGACCTATATTTTCACCAGTTTGTTGTTTTTTTGTCATTAGGATATGTCTGGCAAAAATTTCATTTTTGGGTTTAACAAAAGCTGCTTCAAGAATACTTTTGGCTTCAGAATACTTTCTACAATCAGAGATGAGTTCATAGATATTGTTGCTCACGTAATTTACCAGTAGTTTGAATTTCTCCTCCTCTGAAACATCAATCACAGAGGAAATAAAGTTTTCAAAGGTAGCTTTCCAATGCATCCATTCTTGAGACGATCTAGGAGAGTTAGGATCAGCATCGAATCTGTCTGGTCGTAGTAGCTTATCCATATTTGATATTTCTTGTATATTAAATTGTAATGAAATGCAAAACCTTTATAAACTAGGTTTTAATATACAAGAAATTAGCATTGTTTTGTTTGAATGAATAACATGACAATTACATATGACATTAACTAAAACTAAGATGACAAATGACAAACACAGTTCACAGACCACAGGACATAAAGGACCCCTATTATCTCTAATTGTTGATTAACTCCTTTTCTCCTTCAACCGCCCCCCCCTCCTTTTCTTCAGTCATTTCCTTTACTTTTATTCTCATTAGTCTCTGAGGAACCCAGCCTCTTCAATTTTAAATTCAATCACATGGGTTACTACTTTAATTTCTTCAGCCTGTAGATTTCCATCTACTAACTTAATTTTATTAATTTTTCACCATAGGAGCAGTCTTAAATAGTCATTTAAATATGAGGTCTGATATTAGCTTCAAATATTTGTTATTTAATTTTTACCTTGTCCTAGATGTGTTAAACATAAAAGAATAAATTTCATATATATATAAGCTAACCCAATATTAAATACACTTTAGACCACATTCCATACGACGAAAAGCAACATAAGTTGCCTAAGGCACAGGTCATTCTATTAATCATGACTATAAAACCATCATTGATTTCACATCTTTTATACCCTAAATTAATAAATAAAAAAGTTTTTAAATCCCAACACCTAGATTGTTGTTATTTTTTTAAAATCATCAAAACTTGTTGAATCTTTTGGCTGTAGTAATACTATGTACAACTATTATAGTTTTTGTTGCATTGACATTCTGTTATCTTCATCCTTCAAAAGTATCTTGTCAATCAGTTCCACGCTGTTCTCCGAGTGTAGAGGTTCTCTCTCACCGGCTCTGGAACCCGATTGAGCCATGTGTTACCTCTAGTCAAATTTAATTTAATACTGAACATCACAGTTATTTTACAACACAATGTACAATATTTCATAACTAAATGTAATTTAAAGGGTTTTTACCCTAGTATTTTGGTGGCTCAGGCATTGTGACCTAGTAAGTATAACCATCTTTTGGTTTTCAACCATAGTCAAAATTTCACAATCTCGTTTGTTTTAACTAAATGGTTTATACTTATTTTTAGGCATTTTTCGATTTTAAAAACCTGATGATGGACTGTGTGGTCCGAAAACGTTTGTTTTATTGATGTGGCCCTTTTAAGGGTTTTTTAAATAAATATACCCATTTACAAAGATTAACCTCTTTTTGTTATACGTGGTATACAGCCAGCTACAGGAATTTTTCCTTGTGGATTTTGTTTAATACATTGACAACAGGACTATACAGAATAGCAAGAGCAAAGTTAGGATAGCCATGTTGATCGCCAACATCCGGAACGGATAGGCACCGTAAGAAGAAGAAGAAGAAGATTACAAGAATACAACTGAGAGTATCAGTTTCGAGGAGAGGTTTTGGAATATTTGAGAAGTTAGTATGTTTCAGATTAAGTTTAATATATATTTTTATTTTCTTATTGATAAAATAAAATCTTAAATGATGTCTAATCACGCCTTCTTTTAGTTTTATAGTTGGTTACACAAAGCTATTAAAATTTTTTGTTAATACGTTAATATATAGGTACAATAACATATTACGTTAATTAATTAATTAAATAAAAAATAAATTCTTTATTTCAAAAAATATTTGACATTTCTTGTAAAAAATCGTTCCAAATAAAATATACAATTATAATCACATTCACTAAAAATATTCTCTTCTATTTTCCTCATTGTGAACCCGTCAATGCTTCTTCACTCTTCCCGCTTTTTTCGGCGGACAACAGTGCAGCTTTTTTCTTAGCGTACCATTCCACCCTAACGAAACATAACGTACCTAGTACTGACATGGCTAGCAAAATTGCTAACTGGTAATGAAGTCCAAGAGATTTGGCTGAAACGAAGGTAATAACTGCTCCAACAGACTAAAAAATAATATAATATTATATTAGAAATATATTTAATATATATATATATATATATATATATATATATATATATATATATATATATATATATATAATATATAACTATGTTATGAGTTAAGTTGATAAGTAATAATGTACCGAACTGTAAACTGATAACTAAATATATTTATATAAATTCGAAACGCTAGTTTTATTTTAAAATGCAACAGTATTAACATCATCATCATCATCCAGCCTCTATTTATCACGTCCACTGCTAGACATAGGCCTCCCTTAAACTCCTCCATTCCTCACGATTTTGTGCTCTTTATTGCCAATTTTTAGTGATACGCCTGATGTCGTCGGCCCAACGTGTAGGTGGTCTTCCTCTACTGCGTTTGTCTGCTCTTGGCCTCCAATTTGTAATTTTGGTCGTCCATCGTGAATCGTGCATTCTCGCTACATGGCCTGCCAGTTCCATTTTAGTTCCGCTATGCGTTCCACAACATCAGTAATACTCGTCTTTCTTCGCAGATCTTCGTTTCTTATTCGGTCCCTCAACGTCACTCCCAGCATAGACCGTTCCATTCGTATCTGTGCCACTTTTAGTTTCGAAGCCGTGGTCTTGGTTAAAGTCATAGTTTCCGCCCCATAGGTCATGACCGGTAATACGCATTGGTCAAACACTTTTCTTTTGAGGCTGATTGGTATGTTGGCCCTAAGTGTGTCTCGCAGTTTTCCAAAGGCTGCCCATGTTAAAGTAATTCGTCTTTGGATCTCACATGTTTGGTTATCCCTGCTGATTCTTTCATGACCCAAATACGTATATTTCTCCACCAGTTCTACCACTTTGTCTTGAATAGTCAAATGGTTATTGGGGACCAAATTTGTCATAAACTTAGTTTTGGTCAAGTTCATTCTCAGGCCCACCTTCGAACATGCAAAATCCAATTCGTTAACATATCTGTAGCTTCTCCTAAATTATCTGTGATAAGGACAATGTCATCTGCGAAACGGAGATGGTTAAGCTTTTCGCCGTCTATCGTTACTCCTCTGTGGTCCCAATTAATCATCTTAAAGGCATATTCTAATGCCGTTATGAATAATTTCGGCGACAATGTATCTCCTTGCCTTATTCCATGATTTATTTTTATTGGTCGGGTTTTATTGTCTATTTTAACAGTCATAGTGGCATTTTTGTAAATATTATAAATAAGCTCACTATACCTATGGTCAATCCTGCTGTCATTCATTGCTTCTATAAGGCTGTCTAATTCGATCGTGTCGAACGCTTTATGAAAATCTATGAAAGTGAGAACAAGAGGTTTGTTATATTCTATAGATTTTTCAATGAGTGTCTTTACTGTGTGGAGGTGATCATTGGTAACATAATTTGAGCGGAATCCTGCCTGCTCGCTCGGTTGGTAGAAATCTAATTTTCTCTCCAATCTTGATGTCACTACCCTAGTGAAGAGCTTGTATATGTGGTTCAACAGGCTAATAGGTCTATAATTTTCTAGGTCCGTTCTATCTCCTTTTTTATGCAAAAGGATGGTTGTAGCATTGTTCCACTCTTTGGGCACCTCTCTTTGCTGCAAACATAGATTGAATAGTTTCCTTAATTTATTTAATAGCATATCTCCTTCATTTACGATAGCTTCTATTACGATTCCATCCTCTCCTGGGGCTTTGTTATTTTTCATTTTTCTTAATGCTTGTCGAATCTCATCTAGCTTTATCTCTGGCATTAGTTCGGAACCTTGATTCTTGATCTTCTTTGAAATGGCTGTTTGTATTCCTGTTTTATCTTTTCGTCTACTTCTATATAAGTCCTCGTAAAACTCTTCGACGACCTGTATTAACTCGTCTCTACGTGATATTATTTCATTTTGCTTGTTTCTTAATTTATGAATTTCACATTTCCCATTCGTTAGCTTTCTACGTAGAACTTTTAGGCTGTTATTTTCCTCTATAGTGCGTTTAATATAATCGGTATTAAATTTCCTTAAATCTCTCCTAATTGCTTTTGAAACAGTTTTGTTCATTTTTCTTAAAGTGTTGCTATCTACATTCTTATCGCTTCTCATTTGTCTTCTTTGATCCAAGAGCGTTTCAGTATATGGACTTATTTTACTATTTGATTTTCTTATAGGACAGTGCACTCGGTGACTTTCTTGTAAGGCGTTTATGATGCAGTTATTCAAGTCGTTAATATCGTTAGCGGAGGTTTCCTGCAATAGAAGCTTATTACTGATATGTATCTGATATTGGTTGATATCTAATGGGGGTGTCCAGATACCATGAAATTTATTTTTAATCATTATATTCCTTTCTCTTTTTATATTGATTTGAACTTTCGCTCGTATCATCCCGTGGTCGCTGTTTGTGGTGAACTTGTTGAGTACTGTTACATCTTTAATTATTTGTTTTTGATCACTTATGATGTAGTCGATTACGTTCCTTGTTCTACCGTTTGGACTTTCCCAAGTATTAACAACAGCATTTAAAGGTTTTGCAATTTCTCGAACCATTGCAGACCAGTTTGTAATTCATAATTCTACAGTCTTAAAAATTTTAAAAATAAATAAATTCATGTTAAATAAATGTCATCAAGAACTAAGAGAAAGAGATACTGAGAGACGAGCGGAATATTGTTATAAAATTTTAGAGACGGCTGGCTAAGTGGCTAATACAGACAGACAATGTTTAAAAAACATTTTGTTTGGCGGTAAATATACAATTAAGTACATTAAATAATGTTTAAATAAAATTTTCAAATTCATTGGATTTGGTAGACCAGAAAGCCTGATGATATTATTGAAAACAATATCCAATATCATTCAAAAAATAAATGTTTGGTTAGGAATATTATACATACGGAATACACCAGATTACTGGATTATTTTTCTATGAGAAATATTTTAATTCAGGAAAAGTTTATTGGCTCTTTACAAGAAGAGATCTCACCGAGACTTGCCCAAGTAACTCCAGATAAAGAAGAAATTTGGTTTCAAATGGATGGCGCATAAATGTACACATAAATAGTCGGAAGGTTAAGGAATTCCTTAAAAACAGTTTTAATAATTCTTTGATAGGACTTAGCTGTAACATTAAGTGGTTTCCAAGATAGGTAGATTTAGCTCCAAACGATTGTTTTATCTGAGCGCTTTTAAAATCCAAAATGTATTCTGCCCAAAAATTTACAGATGAACTTTAAATATTAAAACCACTGGACTATCAAACTTATTCGGATAAAAACATTTGCGAACTATATTCGGAGTGTGTTAATTTTTCGGTTTTCTTAACCCTCCAGTACACGCGCGGATTACATACGTAATCCATTGAATTTTATAAAATTGCTATTCGGACCATATCGTATATAGAGTTGCCTATCTTCCAATACCTTCGGGGCATAGCATGATACTAGTATCATGGGGCATAGTACAAGGACTTTGTACAAGGAATTGTTTTAGTATGCGACTGTCGCTTGATGTGTGTAGGTGTAAGACATAGATTGTGTTCTGTTACCATTGTAATCCACGCGTGTACTTACGTAACCCTAAACTAAAAATTATATTTTGTATTTGGCGGTTAAGGTAAGTTTTTCTGGAAAAAGAGTAACAAATATTTATTTTTTATTTTTGTTTTAGTTATCAGCAATGTCCCGACCAAAAAAAGTAAGATTCGGCGACCTAATTTTTAAAAAATGCTAATGGAATGGAATAGACAAAGAACGAATCATGAACTACTAAACGAAATTAAAGAGGATATAGTTTGTAAAATAAAACAGCAAAGGGCAAAATGGCTAGGACATATATGGAGATCAGGACTATCTACGACAATATTCTCAATATTGGAATGGACACCAGCTGGTAAACGAAGACGTGGAAGACCAAGATCTACATGGATACAAGAAGTAACAAACGATCTCAACAGGGCGGGCGTACGACAATGGAGAGAAAAAACCAGAGATAGGAAACAGTGGAGAAAAATAACAAGAAAAATTAAATAAAGAAAATGAGGACTGATCTACCTCGTAAAATAGATCTAGAGAGCTTAAGCGGCGTAACCCCGTACGGGGTGTTTAGCCACAATATATAATGGAATGGAACAATAAAAAAGAGAACGAACAGGAGCCGAATATAGATGGTAGTGATGACGACAGCTGCTTAGATGACTATATTGTTGAGGAATATGTATCTGATGATGTTGTAGAACAAGAATTTACCATGTCTGAACAAGAATCGGAACAAAACTGTGATGAAGAGGTTCAAGGGGAAGAAGATGAAGAAAAAATAATTTCAAAATACTATCTTGGCAACGACAAAAAACAAAGTGGAGTAAGATGTGTTCGCGCCTACTTCAAGAACTCGTGCAACAAATATTGTTTTGAAGTTTTTAAACCCCTAGAAGGAACGGGCAGAAATATAACCATGGATAACTGGTTTACCAGTATACCTTTGGCCATGGACTTGCTTCAAAAGCGATTAACTATTATTGGTACGATTCGTAAAAATAAGAGGGAGCTACCACAAGAATTTATAACGTCTAAAAACAGAGACATACATTCTTCACTATTCGGATTCCTCCAAGAAAAATGTACGTTGGTAACGTACGTTCCAAAAAAAATAAGGTCGTATTAGCTGTTTCAACCATGCACCATGATAGCAGTATTAATCCTGAAACAGAAGACAAGAACAAACCCGAAATAATAACGGATTAGAATAAAACAAAATTTGGTGTGGATCTGGTTGACCAGTTGTGTGCACAATATGATGTTTCCCGAAACTCTCGGCGTTGGCCACTCACCGTGTTCTTTGATTTATTAAATATATCAGGAATTAATGCATTTTCCCTGTATAAGGCTAATAATGTCACTGCATCACTTCCAAGAAGCACATTTCTTCAGGACATTTCGTTAATCCGGAGTTAATAAAATCACTAATGATAAGGCGACTAGAGAACACTCACACATCAACAGAAATAAAAGAAAAAATTAAATTTCTTTTAAAAATAAATAAGGAAACTCCTAAAGAAGTTCCGACTCGCTCTTCGGCCCTTGGGCGTTGTCATATTTGTGAACGAGCAAGGAATAAGAGCACAAGAAAATGGTGCAGCAGCTGTGATCAGTGGACTTGCCCTGGACATTTAAAGCAAATATGTGTACATTGTGCTGAGATAAAACAAAACATGCAGTCTGAATCAGATTAAGATATTGTATTTAGGATATTATAGAACATAGTTTGGTTTGTAATGTTTGGTTATAGGTAATTTTGATTTATAGTATTTCTTTTTTCATTTTCATTGTTTTTCGATTTTTTTTTTAATTTAATGTATATTTTACTTATAAAATAAAGCCAATTATAGGTTACAGTGGTATTATTAAAAAATTATTAAAACAATATCACTATTTTCAAAAAAATATTGCTTTTCCAGAGCTCCAGTACGTATGGATTACTAATGTAATCCACGCGTGTAATCACGTAAGAAAATAGGGCGCGTGTACTGGAGGGTTAAATACTATTAAACTACAAATAATAATAAAATAATGTACTTTGAAAAGATAACTCAGCAAAGACTATGTAAAAAATTCCACAATGCTGCTAAAATATATGACATCTAACATCTAAAATAGATGAAACATCTAAGGAAACTATAAAAAGAAAGATCGGACAATATGTTATAACAACAGCAGCGTTACCATATGCTGAGTACTCTATTATTCGTTAAGTAAAACAACTTACCTGGCTAAATTTAAATATGGCAAAAGCTGGAGCACTATTATCAGAGTAGACGGTTCCCAAAAGTGAGAATATCTGAGTATTATAAATAGAGTCTCCCAATCCTAGAAGGAATGAGCAAAATATAGCTAAAATGGCGTTGCTGGTTATGATAGCCTGATCATCAGTGTCTGCAAATGGCGAGTTGTTAGGTAAATTCAAAATATTAGTACGAATGCGAGGATATGTAAAAGGAATCCGGTGCTTACTACGGGATCTCTTCCCATTTTACGGTTTTGTGACCGAATATTCCGAATATTCCACCACCTACAAATAAAAAATACATTTTATTCTAGTGTAAATAATAATTTTCATAAAAACGTGCATACACTCGTGTGCCCAAGTTCCGTGTGCCAATTCGAGTGGTACAAGCAGTTAGTTCAATTTAATTTGTAAAATGCTGTTTTACACTCATACAGGAAATAATTTCTATTTCAGTGCATAAATACTATTTAATTTTTTTATATAAAACCCATATATACATTTTTAATTAGAGAAAAATTAAAAAGCTGTTTAAGTATTTTACTAAACTGTACAATTTTAAAAACAAATCTTGTAGAAGAAAAGATTAGGAAACATTGAAACTTCAGTTGAAAGTTGAAAAATATCAGAACAAGCATAGGGGTACAAGGGGTACTCCATTATTTAATTTTTTCTGTTTGCGTATGCCATTTTCTTGAATTACCTGGAAGTATCAATCGGAGAGCAAGTTGTTTGTTAGTTTTAATGTTCTTTGGCATGAAATTAGTTTGGTCAGCTTATATAGGAACCTCTCGTTCCATAATACTGTATCGTAGGAAGCTGTCAGATCCACGAAAACTAAAGCTGTCTTTTGTTGCTTTTGGAAGCCAGCTTCTGGATAGATCTGAAAACTGCTTGTTCGAGTGGGATATTTTCAAAAATTTGTCGGCCTATTCTGTTTAAGATATGTCGTTCCAATATTTTATAGCAGCAGTTAAGAGGTGCTATGGGACAACAGCTTTCAGTTTTTATTTTAAATTCTGTACTTACGTTTTTACAATTATTGTTGTATATTTTCCATGTATTAACCCATACATACATCCAAATAAATAGCCGTAGATCAATCGGGAAACATGATATACAATAGATAATCATACAAACACATACGTTTTCGCATGCACAGTCACACACACGAACATAAAATACACACATACACATCTACACCACGCCCAATCGGCAAATCACCCGCACCACAATTGACGCTAGGCCAGTAAAAGAACGAGAAATAAGGCGATACCGTGTAATTTTCCGTGATGAATGAAAAGGTGGATTTAGGTTCTACACACCCTCCACTTCACTTTTGGACTTATGCCGTTGGTTGATTTTTATTTTTTAGGGGTGAAAGCTACCCATATTAGAAAAAATCGTAATATTGTAAATTAAAGCGGGTAATTGATTCAAATAATCTTTTAATTAAGTAAATAAATGTCAATTAACATTAAACAACATAATTTAAGATTTTATCACTGTTTAACCCCTAAATTACACCTTCTAAAATAATTAATAAAACATCATTGAATACCTTGTCTCCAATGATATGGATGGAAATCTGGATTTAGGTTATATTTACCCTACATTTCAAAATTGAACTTGCCGTGCCGTTATTGCTTTTCAATTTTAGCGAAAACTGCCCCTATTAGAAAAATATCGTATAATTGTGAATTCAAACAATTTAGAATTATTTAATTATACAGTGACATCAAATTTAGATTTCTTTACTAATCCAAATTTTGATGATGCATGGCACAGGAGAAAAATGTTTGCCTAAGCGATGCCCCACTAAGGTGGTGCTCAAAGATCAATGGTACAAACAAGGTGAAGGAGGAACAATTGGCTCACCACTATCATTGTTAATAGGAAACCTTTTTATGCACCGTTAATAGGAAATATAAACATGAGCAATATGAACAGCAGGACATAACATATACCCAAACTATGGTTTAGGTATATTGACGACATTTTTGTTAGATGGACAAATGAAGAATAAAAATAAACACTTCCGCAACACATCAACAATATCGCCACCAAAATATAGTTTACCATGGAATAGGGAAATAACCTACAACTTTCAGTTTTATAAGCTTAGAATGAACAGTATACCGAAAACTAGCGCATACTGACAGATTGCATGCTGATGCACACCACCATCCTGCACAATTAGATTCGGTTATCAAACCCTAATCACAAAATGTAAAAAACTGACCATAAAAACGAAGACATGCACAAAGTTAAAACAGCATTAAGGATATTATCAGAGTAGACGGTTCCCAAAAGTGAGAATATCTGAGTATTATAAATAGAGTCTCCCAATCCTAGAAGGAATGAGCAAAATATAGCTAAAATGGCGTTGCTGGTTATGATAGCCTGATCATCAGTGTCTGCAAATGGCGAGTTGTTAGGTAAATTCAAAAATATTAGTACGAATGCGAGGATATGTAAAAGGAATCCGGTGCTTACTACGGGATCTCTTCCCCATTTTACGGTTTTGTGACCGAATATTCCGAATATTCCACCACCTACAAATAAAAAATACATTTTATTCTAGTGTAAATAATAATTTTCATAAAAACGTGCATACACTCGTGTGCCCAAGTTTCCGTGTGCCAATTCGAGTGGTACAAGCAGTTAGTTCAATTTAATTTGTAAAATGCTGTTTTACACTCATACAGGAAATAATTTCTATTTCAGTGCATAAATACTATTTAATTTTTTTATATAAAACCCATATATACATTTTTAATTAGAGAAAAATTAAAAAGCTGTTTAAGTATTTTACTAAACTGTACAATTTTAAAAACAAATCTTGTAGAAGAAAAGATTAGGAAACATTGAAACTTCAGTTGAAAGTTGAAAAATATCAGAACAAGCATAGGGGTACAAGGGGTACTCCATTATTTAATTTTTTCTGTTTGCGTATGCCATTTTCTTGAATTACCTGGAAGTATCAATCGGAGAGCAAGTTGTTTGTTAGTTTTAATGTTCTTTGGCATGAAATTAGTTTGGTCAGCTTATATAGGAACCTCTCGTTCCATAATACTGTATCGTAGGAAGCTGTCAGATCCACGAAAACTAAAGCTGTCTTTTGTTGCTTTTGGAAGCCAGCTTCTGGATAGATCTGAAAACTGCTTGTTCGAGTGGGATATTTTCAAAAATTTGTCGGCCTATTCTGTTTAAGATATGTCGTTCCAATATTTTATAGCAGCAGTTAAGAGGTGCTATGGGACAACAGCTTTCAGTTTTTATTTTAAATTCTGTACTTACGTTTTACAATTATTGTTGTATATTTTCCATGTATTAACCCATACATACATCCAAATAAATAGCCGTAGATCAATCGGGAAACATGATATACAATAGATAATCATACAAACACATACGTTTTCGCATGCACAGTCACACACACGAACATAAAATACACACATACACATCTACACCACGCCCAATCGGCAAATCACCCGCACCACAATTGACGCTAGGCCAGTAAAAGAACGAGAAATAAGGCGATACCGTGTAATTTTCCGTGATGAATGAAAAGGTGGATTTAGGTTCTACACACCCTCCACTTCACTTTTGGACTTATGCCGTTGGTTGATTTTTATTTTTTAGGGGTGAAAGCTACCCATATTAGAAAAAATCGTAATATTGTAAATTAAAGCGGGTAATTGATTCAAATAATCTTTTAATTAAGTAAATAAATGTCAATTAACATTAAACAACATAATTTAAGATTTTATCACTGTTTAACCCCTAAATTACACCTTCTAAAATAATTAATAAAACATCATTGAATACCTTGTCTCCAATGATATGGATGGAAATCTGGATTTAGGTTATATTTACCCTACATTTCAAAATTGAACTTGCCGTGCCGTTATTGCTTTTCAATTTTTAGCGAAAACTGCCCCTATTAGAAAAATATCGTATAATTGTGAATTCAAACAATTTAGAATTATTTAATTATACAGTGACATCAAATTTAGATTTCTTTACTAATCCAAATTTTGATGATGCATGGCACAGGAGAAAAATGTTTGCCTAAGCGATGCCCCACTAAGGTGGTGCTCAAAGATCAATGGTACAAACAAGGTGAAGGAGGAACAATTGGCTCACCACTATCACTGTTAATAGGAAACCTTTTTATGCACCGTTAATAGGAAATATAAACATGAGCAATATGAACAGCAGGACATAACATATACCCAAACTATGGTTTAGGTATATTGACGACATTTTTGTTAGATGGACAAATGAAGAATAAAAATAAACACTTCCGCAACACATCAACAATATCGCCACCAAAATATAGTTTACCATGGAATAGGGAAATAACCTACAACTTTCAGTTTTATAAGCTTAGAATGAACAGTATACCGAAAACTAGCGCATACTGACAGATTGCATGCTGATGCACACCACCATCCTGCACAATTAGATTCGGTTATCAAACCCTAATCACAAAATGTAAAAAAACTGACCATAAAAACGAAGACATGCACAAAGTTAAAACAGCATTAAGGAAAAATGATTTTCCATGTCCAAAATTAAAAAGCTACAGCAATTCCTAAACATAACCCGAGACATAGTAGAAGTAGAAAAAAGCAATTGGTAAATCTATGCTGCTCTATATAAAGGGCATGACAGATAAAATCAGTAGAGTTTTAAAGAAAAATAAAATAGGCATTGTGTTTAACACTGAAAAAAATTTCAAACATATTACCATCCGTCAAAGAAAAATTGGCAGTAGTATATAAGAACTCTTATGAAGGTTTGCGATAAATCATACAAACCGTAAAGAACATCGAAATGTCGAAAGAAAAAAAAGGCGTCTTCCCTAACACAACAAGTCGTAAGAACAGGACATAAAATAGACTTTTAACTGTATGGAAACCAGCTCTCCAAAAAAAAGTAAAAATTAAACACGCAATAACACACAGGATTAATCACAAGAAGTGCTAATATATATAAGCTTTTATTTTTATAAACTCAGCTCGAACTCACTGAACGAAGCAAATGATTCAAAATATAAAATTGTTTTGTTAGAATAATTTCCATAAAAAAATTTGAGATTATTTTTATATGTTTGGGTAGATTTCCACTACCCGTGTATTTGGCAAATATTTGCCATATAGTGGAGTGGTTCACTCGGTTATTACTTGTACAATTATTTGTCACATGGGAAGTCCTGCCGGTTGTCGGTAAAAATGCCAAAGATTAAAGATTATTTGCGAATTTGACAAGTTCATACTTGCAGATGCGCTCCCACTAGTTGCCGACTTCTTCGCAATTAATTTCTGCAGTACTCTGTGTTTGGCTTCCGTTGCGTAAGCATGGGGTGGTTTTAATACTGTTAATTCTAGCGTTTTGCTGTATTTGCAAAGAACCTCAGTATTGGCGTACTTGTCAAATACACGAATAATGGAAACGCTGTACTTGAAGTTAAGTTCGAAATTAGATGTATTTTACAAGTATGCAAATATTGGTGCACTTGCGAAATGCACAAGTAGTGGTGCATTTAAGAGGGATAATAAGGAGATGAAAAGTGTATGACATTACTCGAAAATAAAAAAAATCAGAATATATTGTACGCAGTGACAGAAAACGAAGATTTACAAAAAAAAAAATGATCATAAAAACCTTTTGCTCAGGAAAATGATTTCTGATTTGAAAATTAATATAACAAATATAAGATTATTATGGCAAATAATTTTGCTTTTATTTTATTACATGTCACACAATTTTAGAATAAATATAAAATAAAAAATCATTTCCTACTGGTATTATTTCTACTCTCATGTGTTTACTTACCTAGAACCTCTCCTAGTCCCATAAATATACCAGATATCCCTACAAGTTCTTTACGATTTTCAAAATTTTTGGTAAATCCAAGGCATGAACTGTATATCGCACTGAAGAATCCTAACTCCAGACCTTAAAAAATTAAGATGATTATAAAAATAAGATATTCATTAAAGACGAATTACATACTATCATTATTGTTTTGACAGGTATTCTAAAGTTAAAATTAATTTTAAGTAATCAATTAAATGATCCTTCAATAAAGTCGTCCAAGGAACACGATTCAAAAGAATTGACAACACTTTAAAGATCTCACATATATTATATGCCTGAATCATGATATTGAAAGAGGCAGATATATTTAAATGATTGAAGAATTTTTTTGTATTATCAAGAAAGAACAAAATAATTTGTTTCATTTGTATCTTGAAAACGAAACGTCAAATATAACGCATTTTCAAATAAGTTTGTGATTTATTCCCTTTAAATATGGTATATATTTAATTGGAGCCTGTTCTAAATTTAACAATACATATTTCTTTGTTTGTTTAACAGTCTGCTAAACGGTAACTCGAAGTACGTGCTCATTGCTGAATTTGTCCCTATGTTTTTGCTGAACTTCGTAACTGAGCGAAGATCTACTTGTTGTTAAAGAACTTATCATCTATTAACACTTATTGATCGTTGTAACAATTGTTAGGAGGTAGAGCCAACTTCCCTACGTTTATTGGTTTTTCTTCAAGCGAAATTCTTGGTAATCTGTCTTCCTCTGTTCTCCTCATGTATATATATCGTTGATGTGGTCCACTTTCTTTCTTTCCACTCTTACTACATTTGACAGGCCGGCACTGTCTTCTCATATGTTCCTGTCCTACTAGGTTCTTTCTAGTCTTACCTTTTGTATTAGTACTTTTAGATTTAATGGTAATGGTATTATGCGAATGTTTCTATTTCTCCCCCTCGGTGAAAACTGATCCAGTAAAATCATTCCATTTTCTTATCATAAATACGATGAATTATCTTGTCGATGTCATAGTACAAGCCGGTCTTAAGTAGAGCTCCCTAAATGTGCACAATATTCATACCGTTTAGAACACTTCTTGATTGCATTCTTTTACTTGTGCTCAAGTGATGACTATATTAAAACAGTGCCGTATTAACAAAGACCAACACAAATATACATTTAATAACACCCATGGACAAAGATTTATGATAGATTATGTATTACAACCAATAGAGATATACATCCATCAAAAATTATCGACGTAAGATGCCTCAACTTAGCAGATGTCTTAGCAGAAGAAAGCCTTTTAGAATACAGAACATAACAGACACAACAGGCGTATAATCACTATAAACGAATCAGAAATGAAACGAATACTAAACTAAACACAACACTAAAATTACCAACGAAAGCGATAACTAATAAACTGAATGAAATTATAACACCAGCAGAACAACAAGGTTTCAGGTCGAGAAGATCTTGCACCGACGCTATATTTATAATGATTTATATTGATTATAATTCAACAAACCGGCATATCTTTGTTCCTCGACCTTAAGTAGGCATTTGACCGGGTCAAATTAAAGGACGTTATCCAGTTATTGTACGCAAGAGATATACCTCTAGGAATAATCAAAAGGATCGTAAATATTGACCAAAACAACACAATAAAAGTAAAAGTGAAAGAAGAACTAACCGACCCTATTAAAGCTGGCAATGGGAGAAGACAGGGAGATTCCCCCTGAGTCCTCTTCTATTATTTAACCTGATTATGGATGAAATAATCAAAAACGGTAAGAACTAAAAAAGTATACCAAATGGGAGAAAAACAACAAATAATCTGCTATGCAAATGACGCAATACTACTCGCTCAAAGTGAAGATTATTTACAACGTATGCTGCACCAATTTAATATAACCACCAGAAAATTTAACATGTTAATTTCCCCAAAAAAGACAAATGGCATGGTTACAACAGCAAATTTTCTAAGATGTAAATTGGAGCTAGAAGGTCAGATATTAGAACAAGTGATGGAGTTAACAGAGCCGTCGGTTGCCTGAATAAATCAATATGGAGAAATAAAAATATCGGGAAAGAAATGAAATGCAGAATTTATAAAACAGTCATCATACCAATAATGATATACGCGGCAGATACATGACCTGACACGGAGAGGACAAAAATAATGTTAGAAACAACAGAGATGAAAACACTTGAAACATGAAAAATTGATGGCATGACACTATGGGACAGAGTTAGAAGTATGACATAGATGCAAGGTGGAGAACATCAAGAACTGGGATAAAAATATGTAGACGAGTAGAATGGAATGATCATATAAGCCGACAACGACAACTTACTGAAGGCACATTGAAAAACAGACAGAGTCATGTCTACATAAAAAGAAGAAGAAGTATAAGGGAGTGATCTGAAATACCAGACGCCGCTACTATATTTAGACAGGCTGAGGGGGTGTTCTGGTCTCCTTACGACCATAAAATTGGATATTTAATCACTGTCGTGCAGCTTTGCATATGCCACGCGATTAAGAAGAAGCATAGTGAAGTACATGTAACTTTGTAATGTAGTTGTACGTAATAATGAGAAAGATTAGTTGTTAAAGGAATTACATAATATTAGTGTTCTTTGTGCTCCTTAGTTCTTATAACTTGTTGATGCTATTAAGCATCGGGTTGAATTTCTGCTTTATTTTTATTATATTCTAAGAATTTCCCATTGTAAGCTGCTTTCCAAGTTTATTTGTCATTTTTGCTTTGTTATTATCTAGGACAGCGTAGAACTATTCGTCCTGCTTTAATTTATTCAGTGTATTATATAAATATGTTTTCTGTAGTCATTTGTGGAGCATCCAAATACATATTTTTTTATTTAGTTTATTGGATTTAGTTTAATGTCAAGACATGTTATAAAGCATATTGATAAATAAAGTGGATTTGCAATAAAAAAAACATTTTGTATTTACACTAGGTTACATTATCATTGTCTTCTTCTTCTTCACCCTCTTTATAAGCAAATTTGCTTGTTCATTTGTGGATTAGTACTTATATGGAAGGTTGTCACTCCATATTTTGCGCGGTCGTCCGATTCTTCTTCTGCCGATTGGTGACTTATCTCTTGCTATTTTGAAGACACGGGTCTTCTCCATTCTGCTTATGTGGTTATTCCATTCTTTGTTTCTATTTTGTGTCCATTCATTTATATACCGTACGTTACATTTTTTTCTAATGTCTTCACTTCTAACTTCTCACTTCTTTGTTCAGGTCTCCATGACCAAACAGTGTAATTCCCAGGTATTTTATTTCCATTACTTGTTCAATACTGCCATTAATTTCTATTTGACATCTGGTTGGTTTTTTGCTGACTACTATTGTTTTAGTTTTCTGAGATGAGATTGTCATATTAAATTCTTTTGTTCTTATGTTAAATCTATGGACCAGTCTGCAGACTATGTTCATCTTGGGCTATCAATATTGCGTCGTCTGCGTAACAGAGTATTTTTATTTCTTTGTTTCCCATTCTGTATCCTCTTCCTTTGTTAATGATTTCATCCATGATCAAACTGAAGAGCATGGGGCTCAATGAACCCCCTTTGTCTTATTCCTGTGCCTATTCCTATAGATTCTGTAATTTGTCCATCTATTCTGACTTCCATTTTCTTATTTTGGTAGATGTTTTCGATAGTTTTTCGACTACACATTTTTTTTTCATTACTTTTACAAATATAAAGTGTATTTAGATAATATTTTAAATATGGGTAGATAGTTACATATAAATAAACATTTATTCGCACCTGTTATTAGTGTCCTCTTGTATATCAGTAGATATATAAGAATTAAAATTGCGATTCTTTGTGAAGTTACCGTTGAGACAGTTATTGGTAAATATTAATTTCAAAATTGAGTATATTAGAGCAGGACCCTTATCTGACAGAAAAAGGTGATAGATAGGGAAGACTGGAGAGTAATTCTTGGGAAGACTAGGACCCACGCAGGGTTGTAAAGCCAGAATGATGATGATGACTCTTATCTGATAATTCGGGTCTTTCTTGTTCACTATGTTTGTTTAGATCTTGGGTTTTCTCAGTTTTCTTATTTATAATGTCAATAGGGAATTTGAATATATATATATATATATATATATATATATATATATATATATATATAATATATATATATATATATATTTATATATATATACATTGTTTTAACATTTTTTATTATTATATCTCTATTCTAGTTTTGTAACTTTTTGCAATTAAATAATGATGAAATAAATTATCATGTTAGAATATATTTTATTAAATCCTATTTAATATTTATCTAATAATACTTTAATAATATTTAATAATTACTTATTTAATGACACGTTAAACCCAATGTTTCAACTGTAAAGCTATTATTGTTTACCAAAGATATTATCTTATTTTTATGATTTTTCAGACTTTGTTTAAACAATCAAGTTTAAATGGAGTGGCACAAAATTCTAAGAAATGGTTTACAGCTTATACAGCGGTAAGAATTTTTTTAGTAGTCATGGCCAACGTAGTGGAAAAATTAAATAAGGATGGGCGAACTTTGACAGTTGGTAGCGGTCATATTGTTGAAGTCTGTGAAATTGGCTGACATTTATTCAGTCTGTTTTTCATAATATGAAGTATATTATACTTTTCTGCCCATTCGACTATTAAAGTCGTCCAGTATAACAATTTTTTTTCTAGTTCCTTTATTATCAATTTGGTCTAATAGGGTTCCTGTAAATTCTTCTTTTATACTACTTTACTTATGGTCAATCAGAGCATACACTCCAAATATTTATATACATTCTCTTTACATGTAAACGAAGCTTTGATTATTTTATCTTACACCTGGTTCCAATTTTTAGGGACATTCTTAGCTCTTTTCTTTTTAATATCAGTACGACTACTCTTATCATTTGCCTTTATTTACTTCACTATACAGATGAATATATTCATCAATTGCTTCACTGTCTTGGCCTGTTTTAGTTGTGTAAGTGTATTGGAGCAAATTCCTACTAGTAGAGGTTTTTCTGTTATGGTTTTTGTGTTAACTCCCCTTACATCCCCTCTCGCAAGCTACACCACGGACAC